CGCGGCGTGTTGGGAGGGCTCTGCGTGGCATCGTTCACACATTTCATCTCTGCAGAGGAGATAGACGGTCCGCGCAGCGAGAGGCAGCGGCTTCTTCTAGGAGTCCACACAAGCAGCAGGATATAAATAAATACACAAACACACATTCACTCAGTCATGCTGGGAGACTGGGAGCAGAGTGACAGGAAGAAAAAGGCGATCCATATTTTTATTTGCTTTGGCTTTCTGACTGACAGGTTATTGCCTGGCTTGTTTGAGTCTGACAGCTGAACATCAGGTGAGAAGCTGTTGAGTCGTGTTGTAATCAAACCCACCGAACTTCAGCTCACATCACATCAGATCAGATCATCCCACTCTCCTCCGAGCCGCTGTCTCCACAACCTGAGCTGCTCTTTACTGTAATTATTCATCACCAACGGCGTTCAACAGACAAACCAAGAGAGAACGGTGACTAGCTGTCAAGAAGAAACTGGTGGAGTCCTTTCTTTCCCCTGCCCCCTGCTGGTTTAGCATGCTGAAAACAAACATCTTTCATGTGCTGCTGGCAGATTTTACATATCTTTGCAGGCTGATTTGGGTTTGTCATTCGAATAATTTCACCTTATCAACAATTTACAGGAGCTGTGCCTTTTCTGCCTGTGGTTAATTTCAATTGGTCACAAAACTTTAGGTGACAGTCGTGTTTGCTGTAAAACGCTGATCCGACGCAGGAATGCACGAGCCTGATCCCCCGGTGGCCGGGCTCTCTCACACGCTGCACACGGACGGATGAGCGGTCGACCAAAACAAGTGTTGGCCCGGAAACCCGAAGGGTCAGGAGGCCCCGAGTTAGAGTTTATTAGATATTTATTACCTTTTAAAAGATTCAAACATGACCACCAGCTGTGCTCCGGCTGCTGCTGAACACGGTGCAACAAACCCAAACAGTTCAGGATCTACAAAGTCTGCTTCATTCAACGGAGAGCCGAACAGGTCCAAGAAAAGATAAACGGACGTTTTCATTTTCTTCAAGATGCTCATCTTTAACATTGTAATGCTGTTAATGGGAGCCATCTTACAGGACGCTCATCTCTTCCTCTATTTGAATCACAGCAGACGTAGAAAGGTCACACAGCTCAGGAGCCCCCTAGTGGCTGAATCCAGTACACGTTTAAGTGTTAACTCATTACCTGCCAGCGGTGTCCTGATCAGAAAGCATTTTGGAGTGTTTTACTGTTTTTTGAAGAGTCACAGAACATTGTGCTCTATGATCACGTAAACGTTGAAACCACCAAAAGGAAGAGTAGACTCACTTCTCACATCAGGGAGAATCGACGCGTTCCTAGTGTGGTCTATTCTTCCACAATCCGTTGTCAAAGTGTGAGCAGCAGAAGCTTTTCCGGTGTGATCCTTACTTTTTTCACAGCAACAATCTCCTAACTCATGGACGTTCTGCTTCCTGATCACGTGACGTGCGCAGATGAAGATCAGCTTTAGAGAGGGGATGTTTATTCTCACAATGCGGGGGCTCGCTCCCACGCCCGCCCCGTAAAAAAAAATGCGAGCAGTTGGATTTAAAATGACGACTTTACTCGTCGTTGGCAGTAAATGAGTTAAAGACGTGTCGTGTAACGCAACGCCATTATCCGTCCTTGCGGGCCTGCTGGAGAGCCCTGCAAGGACGGACGGAGTCAAGCTCTCTTTTCTAAACATCCATCGAGACGGACAACGCAAGCTTGTGATTGGTCAGGACGCCGCTGTCGTCTACAGCGCCGCCATTGCGCCCTCAAAAACAAAGAGCTGAGGATAACTAGCGGCAGACACGGAGAGGCTTGAAGAATACCTCATGAAAAAACTCTAAAAACATGAGGGTTTAATTCCCTGTGACTGGAGGAGTGAAAAGATGCGCAGCAAGCGTTTTATTTGTGGACGGAAATGACAGGAAACGTGGGTTTAGAGGTGGGGAGCGCATGAAGAGGTGGAGGAGAATGAGAGACAAATGTGTCTGTGTTAAAAAGTCTCTTATATACAAAAAAACTCAATATAAACACACTATCTTGGACGGATACATGACAGGATACCACAGAACAGCGCTACGCCCTCTGCTGTCCTGGCGGGGAATTGCTTTGCAACACTCCCCAGGAGATGGAGAAGTATGAGGGCAAAACATCTCTGTGCGTGTCTGTCCCTGTCGGAGCTGACGGAGAAGCATGACTCAGGCTTAAATCTGACGTGTGCGTGAAAGAACCATGTTAAACGTAGCTGGCTTTAGCTGGTGATTTCATACGTGTTTCACTGAAAGTTTCTCCTTTGTTTCAAAAATGTCGAGCACCGTTTGTGATTAGGACCTTACAGTGGGCTTGAATGGGCAGGTAACGCTCTCTAAAGGCAGCTAGTCCAAGTCTACAAGGAGGAGCAGCAAGTTCTAGCTGTGTGTAACAAAAATGGAGTCATGACTAAAGAAATAGTGCAACATAGTGAACACATGAAACACAAGAGCGATGGCTGAGTGAGACCGGTGTTGTGTCAAAAAGCGTTCCTCCTCCTACTTCCTCTCTCTCCCCTCTTTGCTGCTTTAGTTGGGTGGACTCAAACCCACATGAGTCTGTCACTGCCTGTTGCTGCACAGTAACCTCAGGTTTCTGAGCTCCAATCGTTACACAGATGGACGCAGCAGTAGTAATAGAATAAAACAATTTAATGGTGGCCAAGGGTCTTTGTTAAATGGCGTATTAGTGTTTAACCAGCTCTAATCAGGGTCAGGAGTCTCTGATTTATTTATTCTTGTTGGTCTAAAGCTCCTTAAACTGAATATTTATAATAGAAATAGTTTCCCACATCCAGATTATATACTAATATTTGCCCATAAAAAGCCCTCACTGTTTTTTGGAGACTAAAACCTTTGAAATAACGATAAATAATTACTTAAATGTTTCTGCTCTTTTTAACTGAAAGCCTTTTTGCTCAGACCAGGACAGGTTTGTCTGATTCTGTTGATGTTTTCCATCATTTATGGTTTTATAGCAACACGGAGCTAGAAAAAGCCCTCGTCCAGACGGCCGGGTCAAGCTGCTTCATCATGTGGATCACACACAGTTTCACTCAAACCCAAAAGCTGCAGAACACCGGCTGCTGTCACGCGAAGAGTCGGCTGATGATCAGACAGCTGTCAACATCTTTCACCACAAATGGTTCAGAGGTCCACAATCAGACGGGTGACTTCAGCCAGTGGTGTTTTCTCTCGTTATTTCCAGATGATGGTTCACAGGAACTTCATCCATTTGCCAAACGTGAGCATCAAGCCCAACACGCCAAGGGCGCGTTCTCGTGTAAGAACGCTGCTGCGTTCGGGCGTTGTGGGTCAAACCACAACAGACGAGCAAATCTAAACACGACAGGTGTGAAAACTACTAACAGAAATGTGTACTGACACCGCGCCACGATGAAAACTGGCCAACAGAAAGTTCATCTCACATTTATGAGACAGTTTTGCCTTTAATTACTCAGGAGCTTCCCAACCCTGGTGTGGATTCAGGTCCACCAGCGGTCCAAAGGAGGTTCGAGTCTCAGAAAATAATCAGAAATTCAAAAACTGTTGTTGAAGTTGGCAGAAGAGAAAATCTTTTATCAGCATAAAATCAAAGTCTTATTTTAGGGACAGTAGCAGGAGCCTGTTCAGAGCAGGGCTATTCCACTCTGGGCCTGGAGGGCCGGCATCCAGCACGTTTGGTTTTAAACCCGCTTCAACACACCTGATTTCACTTAGTAGGTGATTAACAGGCTTCTGCAGAGCCTGATGAGCTGCTGCAGGTGATTCAACCACTGAATCAAGTGTGCTGGAGCTAGAGCTGAAACAACTAATCGATTTAATCGATTATAATCGATTATTAAAATAGTTAACAACTTTTTTAGTCATCGATTAGTTGTTTAATAATCATATTTTACTGCATAAAGTCTATTTTTACCACAATCTGACATCGGTTACAATCTGTTAAATTTGCCGCCAGTGTGTGGCAGTAATGAGCCACTGATCTACCAGTGGAGCCGTAGAAGAAGAAATGAGCCAATGAGTGCCCTCGGTTTTCATGACGTATCACGTTACTGACGCTCATCTTGCTGTGAGAGATGGCGGAACAAGAAGAAATACGGAAGAAAAATAGAAGCGACAAAACTGAAGAGAAACCCCGGACTTCACTCTAGATGCCTTGAAAAGACGGGTGACCTGCAAAATATGCAAAAACCATCTAGCATGGCACGGAAGCACGACGTCCCTAAGTGAACATTTGAGACGAAAACATGTGGGAGCTGATGCAGCAGAGGAAGAGCACCACGGTCAAGTGAGCCGTCATTTGGAAGAGCCAGCCCGGTAAGTAACAGAAAATAAACAAGCTGGACTTAGTGTTTTAGCTGAGTTCGTTATAGTGGATGTTAAACATGTTTTTTGCCGCGTCAGTCTACGGTGTTCTACTTCTGATTGACTAAATGCAATCGTGAATCTCCTCCGTGTTGTGTGTCATGCGCTTGCCAAATTCAGCACGTCTGTTTATAAGAATGTTCTCGTTAAGAGAAAAACGGCACAAACCCATAACCATGTTCCTCATTCAAAAAAGGACAACTCCGCGGAGAAAAATATACGGACGAGCTGTGTCCAGGTGAATATAACGCGGCATAGTTGTACGCTTTCAATTTATAAATACAGGAGAAATTGAGAAAAAGTCATTTTTTACTATTAAAAGGCTGTTTTACTGTCTAACGCTGTAAAACGCCTCACAACACATTTTTATCATGTTTCTTAAACAGTATTACACAAAATAAACATTTTTCACATTTTCTAGCTAATTTAAACACTCCCGACTCAAAGTAAAAACCTCATGAGCTTCTTACTTAGAGCTTTTTAATAGTAAAAAAAAAAATTTATTTTTTTTCTGAATATCTCCTGTTGCGGGCTATTTTGTAGAACGTAACCCTCGAAATGAATGATCACTGTATATTGTTAATTAATTCAAATAATATAATATTGATTTAGTGTTGTAGTGTGTGTGCTGCTTTATTTTATATGTGTACTTATTTCAGTCTATTTGTGTTTCTTATGCAGAAAAAAACAAGCAACGATGGACAACTACATGGGGAACAAGACACTCACCCCCCAGCAATTCATACCACTTACAAACTCTATTCTAAACATGCTGGTAAAAGACATGAGGCCACTACCCATGGTGGAAGGAGCAGGCTTCCAGCTAATGCTAAAAAATTATTCTGGACTGATATTTTGCACTGTTTAGCTCATTTTATACTGCTGACTGTTCATGTGCAATAAAATAGATTGCAGTCAACTGCACACTTTTCTTATATTTTTTTTCTTAACTGAAATGCATCCATCACTTGTATAGGTTAAATAGCTAAACAATAATGAACCGATTAATCGATTAATCGAAAAAATAATCGACAGATTAATCGATTATGAAAATAATCGTTAGTTGCAGCCCTAGCTGGAGCAGAAAAAAACACTAAAACATGCTGAATATCAGCCCTCCAGCCCTGGAATTGAATACTCCTGGTTTAAAATAATCTCAAAAACTTTCAGAATTTCATTGGGAGGCAATGACTATTATTATTTTTTGTTTTGTTTTGTAAAAAACTATGAAACCTTCAGAAAACAGCTGCACACGTCCAACTCCAGATTAAAGATAAGCCTTTTGCTCCAAAGTCATCAGTGATAATATTAATAATTCCCATGTTCTGTAACTGATCTCTCAACAGTAAGTCCCGATTTCATCCCAAACTGAGTGAGAGGACCTTTTGTACGTTCCTTCTGTGTTTCATCCAACTGCATTACTCGGTTCTTTAACGCAGCAGAAGAGACCTTAAACTCATCTACCTGCTGTCTGGACAACCTGCCAACTAACTTCTTTAAAAATGTGTTTAGCTGCTTAACAGCTGATGCACTGAAAACAGCTAACCATTCCTTAATGCCTGGTATTTTTCCTACATTGAAAACCGCTGCTGTTAAGCCTCTTCTAGAGAGAGATCCGTAAGTGATGACTAACTACAGACCCATCTCTAATCTCCCTTTCATTGAAAGTGTAGTTTTGATCCAGCTGAACGGCGTTTTGGAAACAAACAACCTGCTCGATTGTTTTTTAGTCGGGTTTTAGATAACACCACAACACAGAGGCCGCACTGATTCAGGTATTAAACGATATTCGTCTAAATACGGATTCAGGTAAAACATCTGTCGTGATGATGCTCCATCTCACTGCAGCTTTTGATACTGTGGACCACAACACCCTTCTCCTGGGGCCAGAATACCTGTTGGTCTGCTTCAGGTGTATACGCCCAGCAGGGCTCTGAGATCCTTAAATGATAAATGACCTGTCCTTATGTAGCACCTTTCAGAATCAGAGGACTCCAAAGCGCTTTACACTACAGTGTATCATTCATCCATTCACAAACACATTCACACACTAATGGTGATGAGCTACGATGTGGCCACAGCTGCCCTGTGGCCACCAGCAGTGGTATTGCCCAAGGACACAACAGCAGCAGTCTCTGTCTGGATTGAACCTGCAACCTTCGGATTACTGGACAACCTGCTCAACCTGATGAGCTACTGCTGCCCCCAGTGGCGGCTGGCCAGTAGAGGGCGATAGGGCGCCGCCCTCCCAGTTTCCCCACTGTTTTTAATTTTTATTTAAAAAAATAAATAAATAAAATTAACAATAATCACATATTCTAAGTTAATTGTGTGTTTTGTAACAAAAATAAATCATATATATAAATATATATATATATATATTGGTCTCTGCCGGTCTCTGCCGAGCGGTGGAGGCTGTGGGCTGTGTTTCAATCGCCCAAACAGGACGGGACCAGTCGTCCAATTGCTGACAAGAAAATCAAAGGGTAGGAATGGGAATGTATCCAATCAGCGTCAACGTTGTTTCAGAAGCATGATGGGCGATAGAGCTACCGCCAAAGGCTTTCGTTAGTGCTCGGTAGAACTCGGAGATTCTCGACTCCAGCACGTTTTTGGTCGTGACTCGTGACGGTCGTGACGCAGACGTAATAGACATGGACGCCAGTGCGCCTACAACCAGCAGCAGCAGCATGGATACCCGGATCTCAGCAGCCACTGAATTCAGTTCGGTTTCTTCTCCAGTATCCGTTCGAGAGGAGAACTATGGTGGAAAAACTTAATGGCAAAGAGCTTGGACCAGATCAGCCCGACGTAAAGATAAGCCAGCAGGAGGAGGAGAGAGGTAAACTGTACACACGAGGCTTCTGGGAAGGCTTGGCTAGCTCGATGCAATCACGCTAATGCGTTATTTTGCTTTCCAAACGACTGTGACAGATGAGGCATGGATTGAGTCAGGAGTTACGGACAAGAAACATTTTTCTGAGAAGGTGAAGAAACATGAGTTATCCCGGGCGCACATGGACAACACGGTGAAGCTAGCTATGCTAGGCAGCGCTAACATTGCCATGCAGCTAGAGACGAGGGACGCAGGCAAGCAGTGAATAAACACAATGAAGAAGTGGATCAGAACCGGCACATTTTGTCCAAGAGAGAGATGTCAACACAGTGTATGAGCACAAGGATGACCTCCTCAGATTTTTCCAGATGATCAGAGACTCGGATGACTTTGATCCAACCACTGAGAGAGAGGAAGGAGGCTTTGTGAGAATGCTGGAGGAAGAAGATTTCGGCTTTCTGCTGGCATTGTGTCACAAGATCATGCCACATGTGGACATGCTGTTCAACCAGCTGCAGAAGAGGAACATTGACTCTGTCTACATCACAGGGGTCATCCAGAGCTTCACCAACAGTATGCAAAAGATCAGGTACATAATTGTTTATTTAATATTATTGTGATGAAATTCTCCAGTATGTTAGTTTCACAAACAGTAATGTGGATGTGGACCATTTATGGTAGTGTTATTTTATGTGCAATTTAATGCAGTATTTTTCAACCTTGGTCCGCAAGGCAGTGTGCCAATAGTCAGACACACGTGGATTAATCCCTTTGTCCAATAATGTAAGACAGGAAATAAAAGAGCTGTGCTTAATTCAGGAAATAGTGAAACTGTGCACAAAGCTCAGAAAGCACAAGTTTGTTTAAAAAAAAAATAGCACAGCCCCACCAAAAATATTTTTCACCAGCCGCCACTGGCTGCCCCCTTAGGAAACAGGTAGGTAGAACCTGGGTCAGAAAAGATGGAGTCAGCTTCCTCGTGACCTCAGATGCCCCCAACTCTAGAAGCTTTCATGTATTCATCAGCCTTTGGACAATGAAGCTTTTAAACTGCTTTGGTTCTTTGTTATGTTCGTCTGAACAAGTCAGATTTAGGTTTCTTCAGATCCACAGTTGCAAACAGGCTCGTGGTCTTTCAGTCACTAGTTGGACCAGGACCAGCCTGCTAGTTACTGGTTTCCCTTGACCAGTGAGCTGTCTTGGTGTGCCACGGCATTAAGCGTAAGCTAACTTCATAAGAGAGGCATGTAACAATAAAATTCATCGTTAATAACAGATGGGTGGTTTTACGGTCGCCTACACGGTTAATAAAGGAAAGATGGTGATCTCCAGCGTTTTAAATGTTTAAATGACGATTGTAGTTTCAGGAAAACTGAACCAGGTTTCAGGTAATTCTCTTATTGCTGAAAAATTCTCTTATTGCTGAAAAATTCTCTCATTGCTGGAAAATTCGAATGGCAAACAGCTTAAACGACACATATTTTGGAAAGCATTTGAATAAATAAGTAGGCTCTGATATGCGTATGTGCATGAGACGTGCACATGTTCCTCACCCCCACAGCTGTGAACCCAGGGGAGATGCAACACTGTTCATTAGTGGTCTGGCCTAAATTAATTATTGCATCAAATAATTGTATTTTTCTATTTATAGAGGAAATATTATCATTCAGTCAGAGAACAGGAATGTTTGTAGCTTAGCCGTAGATGGTGAGTTCACAATACCATCTAATACTAACTGCTCTGTTTGAACATTTCAATGTTTTATTAATCAATACGCCTGATTTTAGTTATTAAAACCATATTCCTCATACATTTTAGTTGTGATTTTTAATAGATGATATAGATATACAAACAGCATGAATAAAAAACAAGAGGCAAGAGAACAACACTCCTATAAAACCTTACCTAGAATCCCAGTCACCTCACCCACAATATAAGAGGCTAAATGAGCAATGCTTTAATAGGAACAGTAAAATAATGTCAAATAATAATCACAAAACACCTGAAGATACCTTTCTCATTTCTTTTCCCAAAACAACAGTTTTTTGTTCAGAAAAGACCCAGAAGCATCATTTATGAGACAATCGTACAACGTCCATGGATATTCCTAGAAGAACTGCATCAGAATGAGCGTGGAGCTAATGCTTTGGGTCACGGCATGGCTCAAAATTCCCAGGAACAAATGGATTTACCGGGAATCCGACCAAGGGAGTGCAACGGCTACGCATGCAGAATCATCAGGATGGTGGGTTTCATTTGTTGTCTATGAGTAATAATATATTCATCACAATGGGATCCTGGATGCACGGAGAAGGTTTGCCCTGAGGCAGTTTTTAATGACCTCATTGCAAACCTCAACGCCGAACCAGGACCGGGATTTGATTCAGCTCCGGGCTGCGAATAAACTTACATAGAAATGATCTTTGGCATGCCTGAAGATGCAGACTGTTGCACCCAAAGGGACATTTACTAAAGTTTCTATATGTCAAAACAAAACTTGTGATGCAGGGGGAGATCTAGAAGCAGGGCAAGAGTGGCCAATGGCCTCATAGGCTGCTGAAGGGGCCCCCACCACCCACTTTGCTGTTTTGTTTTGTTTTGTTTGTTTGTTTGGGGGGGGGGACTACTGTAAATAAGATGCTAATATAAATCATTTTAAAACTGACTTGTTATTCTGTGTTTATGTTTAGAAATGATTGTGATGAATCTAGAGAGCAATGTTCTTGCAGGTTTCTGTCAGCATGCTGTCACGATGGCCAACTGGGTACGGGAGTTGAGCTTGGTAAGGATGTTTGATGTCTGGATTATTTGGTAGAGAACTCTGATCATGGGTTTCAATGAAACGATGACTGAGTGAAGAGCCGGTGCGGCGTCTTCCATATATAGGCTTGGGTGTGACTGGGAGAATGCCGGGTGTTCCCACGAGGAGCATGCTGGGAAATGTGGTCCAAGATGGAGGCCGGTTAGCTGGGAGAGGCTGGTCCGGGGGCTTGTGTTCTGACAGGACCCCCCGGTCCAGGGACGGCTCCAGAAGTCCCAGGGCGACCACGGCGGTCCCAGAAGTCAGAGATAAGGGCAGGGTCCAAGGTGGAGCGGGCCGGCTCCCAGGAGCGTTCCTCGGGGCCGTAGTCCGCCCAATCGACCAGATACTGCCAGCCCCGTCCCCTGCGGCGAGCGTCCAGGATGCGCTGGACAGTGTAGATGGGCTCACCGTCGAGGAAGCGGGGAGGCGAAGGCG